GACGCGTTTCAGAAAGGCGGGGCATAGAGGAGAAACAATAATGTACAGTATGTGGAAAATAATGTGTTTTTTGAACCTTAAACCGCATAAACACATTTCATTACACCAAATACACAAAAGAATGTTCTTTTTAGCAACATCATATGACCCCTTTAATCTTCATTATTTAACAGTGGAAAATCATTCAAAATAATTTAATAAGTTCATACTGTTCATTATAATGTCACTTGTAATCTTCACATGATTAATTGTAGTTAAGTGTTTTATCTTTCATTTATTTAAAAGTAATATTAATAGAAAAATAAAATATGTAAAAAAAAAAAGAAGATTTTTTGACAAATATAAAAAGTTATAAAACTGTCAAATATTTATTGTTTTTTTTACCAGCTTATCAGTATTAAAATAATTTATAATTAAAGTAATTTATTAATTAACAATAAAATTAATTTATAAAATTTGAATATACTGTATATGGTTGCTCTGACCTTGTTAACATATGGTTGCTCTGACCTTGAATACTGGCTACATAGTTTAACAGTATAATCACTAAGTATATGCAGTGGTTTAATCCTGGTTCATGGGTGTTGCGGCTTAACACCGGTATAACCATCAGCACCGTCTATCGCGGCAAGCCTAGTTCATGCTTGTTCAAATTCTTTTCCAGTCACCACTTCCTTTGCTTTGTGTTTTTGAATCAATTAGTTATATTGCTTGACCTTTGACATAAGTGAGTTTGGGGTGTTATTTATGACTGGAGGTCCAAACGACTCTTGAGTTTGTTTATATCTCAACTTGACGTAGCTACTACTAGTTAATAGAATGTTAATAAATGTTAATAGAACTCCAAACCAGACCCATTGCCTGTAATCTGGAAAACAGATTTAGGACTTTTCGTCTGCAGCTACAGGCCATTAAGTGGATAAAATCAGATTCCATTTCAACAATGTCTCCTCAAACTTATTATTGGTGAACTTCCAAAAGTGTTAAACTGATTGTTTTACTTGGCCATGTGCCTTGAGATGTATCTTGCCAGAATTCAGTATAAGAACAGGAAGGGGGTCGATTGCCATGCAGCCAGCTTCCTCACTAGTCATTTTTAAATTCGGCAGAAGACAAAGTAGACGACATTCAAAGAGTCTTTTTCCTACCCATTGGCTTTGCCAATGGAGCTGCTGTGAGGAGAGGGTAATAGAGAGAGAGCTGAGAGCTGTGCCTGTCACGGCATTACTCTGACACAGCGTGACAGAGAGAGAGAGAAGGACGAGAGAAGGAGAGAGTGAAAGAGCTGCCTCTTCTTATAAGCATTAAAGCCATGTCTGTGGGTGACGATGGAGATGGTGAGTGCGTTTATATATTAAGTAGTATAGTTGTGTTGTTTGTGTACATGAGGTTTACGGTATGCATTATGCTCTGTTTATTTGAATCTGATGCAAGTAATGGGGACAATGCAGAGTTATTGTCCAGAAAATACTCTCTCCTATTGGTAATCTGCATCTCTTTCAATTTATAATTTGCACTTCCGTTAAAATGAGTGTACCTACTTGTCCTTAACGTCCAAACAATGGAGTTTAATCAGAATATATTGCATTATATCTCTCTCTGTGATATGCTAGTTATATTGGTTTATGTGTCAGTGGGTTTTGTCCCTAGGGAGTTCAAGTGTGACCCGCTTTCTATGGCATTTCGTTGCTGCGGCTACCCATTATTAGACTCTTCAGTTCTTGCCCTGTAAATTGAAGTACAGCAACTATGAGATGCTGTGTGTCCGTTGACTATAAACGAAGCGTTAATGCTTTTGAGTACTTATGTTCGATATTGTTTTGAGTTTTGTTGGACTTATTGCACAAGCTGCTCTCTGGCTGTTCTTTTTTCAGTGTAAATGGCTTCATTTCCTTCTCTCCGTAATCCTGATAACCAGATTAAATAGCTAGTTAAGTTACGGATTGACCAGTGAGGACTTAGACATCAACACTCAATCACCCACCCTCCAATAAGCAATATGGTGTCAATGGCAGTTAGACTGACAGTATGTGTTTTTCCAGGTCAGTTTTGAGTGAGAAATGCGTCACATACTAGTGTGTAGTCAGTTGATTTTATTTTTAAATGACCACTGCTGTGTTCCATATTCCTATTCTTCATAACTGGCAATATGTTGGTAATGTGTTATTATATCGATAACTGTGTCACATTAACAATATTACAATTCTTTTATTAAGAATTTATATATTGCAATCGTTTCCTTCCTAGAATGATGCTTTGTAAAATTGAATCTTAATTTTTTTGTGTATATAGCATTCAAATTTTGGTCGAATATAAATAATTGAATGTGCGTTGACTTACAACTGCAGAACATTTCAGTGATGTCCCACAGACTTGATTGCATGATGGGCAGTCTTTTCGCCAAAATACTGTAAGAAATAGAAACTGTAAGTTTAGAAACTGTTTTAGGTAAAATATTGCTTTGAAAAACACTTATTTTTGAAAAATATTTCCCCCATTCCTACTACTAATCATGTATATTATTATCTAAGAAAAAAATGAAAAATGTAAAAGTTGCTTTTCTGATTTCAGCTGGCCATTTTGGGCACACCAAAGTTTAAACCTATGTAAATTTTGCCTTTAATTCTTCTTCTTATTAATAATAATTATTATTATTATAATGAAAAATTAAAAAACATTCCAGAATTCAGCCATTTTAGGCAGACCAAAATTCAAACCAATGTGATTCATCCTTATTATTATCATTATTATTAAAAGATGAAAAATATAAACGTTTTTTTGGGGGGGGGGATTTCAGCTAACCATTTTTGGCAGACTAAAATTCAAGCCAATGTGATTCAGTCTTTTTTATTTTTTAATCTCTCAAATCCACTGATGCGGGCTGCTCTTGTTGTCATGGCAACAGCCTTTTTAGAGCGGCCAGCTCTCTCTCTGTCTTGCTCCTTCCTTGTCTTTTCTCCCTTTTACCTCCGTTTCCCTTCAGCATGTCCCCACTTTTTCCTCTCTCTCTCGCATCCTGTTGCTGTTTTGTTCCTTTTGGCTTGTATCAGTCTCGCTTGATTTTACTCTCATTGGCCCGTCCTTGTTGGATTGTTGTTCACGCCCTCCTGTCTGAACAAAGAGTGGGTTATGCTACTATACTAATAATGCTAAACACATAGGCTGGCACACAGAGCCCTTTCAGCCCAGCTAGTGGGGTCAGCATCCATAATGTGTCAGTGTAGTCAGCCCTTGGCTTAGTAACGGGGTCACAATGCAGATTGCCCACACACACACACACACACACAGACTTTAATATCCAAAGACCACATCTGAGCTGTAGGGGTGTGGCCTTCGTTCTCATCTATATTTACACATTTTATTCATCCACAATTCCCCTGTGTGTGTGTTTGACCATGAATGTTCGTTTAAACTAAGATGTTCTTGCAGCATCATGATGCTAAATAGCTTAGCTTGAGCTCCAGACAAAACAAACCTCATTGACATGCAAGAAGCATCCTCAAATCTCAAAGCTCACTGGCTGGTTAAAGATGATGTCATCACTCTCCTGATTGGCTCTTCGGCTGCTGGGAAGGAGGAGGGACAGTGCAGAGCAAAGTGCGAGGGAGTGATGGAGGAGGAGATGAGGGGGGATGGAGCGAGAGAGTAATTGAGAGGGAAGATGCCGAGCAGCTTTTGGGTGGTGGTTTCTGCGAACCGTGCTACGTGCCTTGCTGATCCGTCTCTGGATATTTCGGCGCCGTGAGAACCGCTGTCATGTGAGCGGCAGCTTGGGCGTTGCCTCGGATACGAGAGAGAGCCACGCCCGCCTTCAGGCATGAGGCGCCTCATCTGCAAACGCATCTGTGACTGTGAGTGTCTTCTCGAGGTGTTTCAAATGTTTCTGGTGTTTCAAATGAATGTTGATGTCAGAATCAGAGCAGATATAGGGTGTTGCCCAGGTGCCGTGGAGATTTGGGGCGTTTTTAATAGCCGGTAGATGAAACGAAAGACTGTGTGTGTTCTTCTAGCCTTGCTTTTTACTGGATGTGCCCAATCTGGTCTTGTGTGTGGGTGGCTTTGTGGAATCTTTGAGTTATGCAGGCATTGCCTATACTTCCTGTTTTTGCTGTTCAGTAATTGATGGGCCTCTATTCGGTTCTTGTTCTGGGCTGGTCATTGATTACTTGATGATATTGTGGTTGGGAGGAAATCAGACCTGTTCTTGCCTTACTTGATATAATCCAAAGACCTATTGGGTTTCAGTGGGAATCGATTTGTTTATTGATATATTCTGATAGGTTTCCTTCTTTTTGTTCATTATTATTGACTCAGCTACTCTGGAATGAGAATAGGAGACTGTTGGTACAAAAATAAGTTTAATTTGCTTATCATTGTGCAGTAAGTCTATTTTGGAACAAAATTTGAGGCACTTGACCTCAGCTGGTCTATTTATATGCTACCTTCATGTTCAGACTTTGATAACCGATTTATTCATGCTCTCATTGCTTTTCTCAGATCGTAGTTTTGATGATGATGACTCTGTGGACGGAAGCAGGCCGTCATCGGCTCAGGCTGCGTTTAAAGTGCCCAAAGTACCCAAGAAACCTGGAGACTCTGCCAGCAGTTCCAGACGCCCCAGTGCCACTGGAGCTGCAAAGACAGGTGATACAACTATGAGATTGCATTTACATATCCTAGGGTGCAGAACAGTTCAGTCTTTAGCCTTAATGTTGTTGTTTTTTATGCACGTTATCTGGATAAAATAAACACATGCTGTGCATTTTAAAAAGTCAAAATTTAAAATGAAAATCAGTTAAATGATCACTATTGACAGATTCAATTATTCTGTGCTGTCAGGAAGAATTTTATGTAATGGTAACTATATATGGGTGGAAATTAAATGGATGGAAATGAATTAGAAAAAATGGTTTATATTAAATAACCATGTGGTGATGCCTATTTTTAGACAATCCAGAAAAAAAAATACTTCACACATGAAAGGTACTTTGTACTTTGATTTTCTCTTCTTATTTGGAACACGATGGACACAAACTAAAACATTACCCTTAACAAATTATTCAGTCTCGCATCAGTGCAAAAACAACTTCATATTACATAACAATGAGAACAAAGGACTAATATTATAAAATAGATTGTTCCAGTTTTAAATTCTAGTTTAGTGAACCACGTTCAGAGCTGTTGTAAGATAGTGGATCTACAGACTCCTCATCAGTTCACAATGGCAAGTTGTGATATGCTTGGCAGCCATGAATTTATTTAGCTTTGCATTATTGTTAATAACTTAATAGCCAGTTTTTCAATGTCTTGACTTGTTTGGGACACGTTCTGCTGCATTACTGTTTGTTTTTGCATTACGTTTATATATGAAATATCTACTACAGTATAGAAAAAAAATCTACTGTTTGTAAAGTCATAAAAAGAATCTCTGTTATTGTATGATATGTATACACTCTAACCATCCAGTCCTACAAGCTTGAAGGAAAAGCTGCCACAGAGATTAAAACATTGGTCATTAAACAAAACATTGGCCATTAAAAAAGGTGTCTTAAGAGAAAAAATGTGGGCAGAGTCTTTTGTTTGCTTTTTATTTCAATGCAATTCATGGAATTTGTGTAGCCGTATGCACTGATGCTTTTACAAAACAAAAAGTTTGCACAAATCCCTTTTTTTGGTTTCTATCAGCAGTTCACAATGAATTGACATTTTTGCTGAGGCTCATTACCGAGCTTTCAATTTCAAAAGGTCCACCCAAAATGCATTGATATGGGGTTTCATGAAGGCTGATTGACAGCTCACTGATGCTGATGTGTTAATCAGACTGTTCGGGTCTCCCTCCTGTGTGGCAGATCTTACAGGCCAAACCCCCTCTGGCCTTCATGATTGATCATTCAATTACATCCGGATAGGAAGACAAGACAGGAAGTCCATTAGGACTAAGAGCTGTTAATATGTAGGATAATTTTCTTCCCTCAGATAAGAAATTAACAGTCTCTGTAATAGTTTTGCAAAGCGCTATTTCACTGCATTTGGTGTACAGATTTAAAAAAATATATATAAATACACACTCACATGTGTATATACAGTGGGTACGGAAAGTATTCAGACCCCCTTAAATTTTTCACTCTTTGTTATATTGCAGCCATTTGCTAAAATCATTTAAGTTAATTTTCTTTTTTAATAAATCTGCAAAGATGTCAACAATTCTGTGTTTTTCTGTCAATATGGGGTGCTGTGTGTACATTAATGAGGAAAAAAAATTAACTTAAATGATTTTAGCAAATGGCTGCAATATAACAAAGAGTGAAAAATTTAAGGGGGTCTGAATACTTTCCGTACCCACTGTATATATAAGTAACTCCCTCCCCCCACAGAGAACACCCTCCTGTTTGACTAGCAATACAACAGTTGCCATAGGAACCCCTCATTGTGCTCAGTTTCTATGGCAACGGCTGCAACTGTCAGTTGTCTTCTAGAGTGACTGAGATTAAAAATGTCTTAAACAGTGTCAGACAGATTCACGTGTCCTTCATAAACCTCATAGCTGTCTCGAGTTTGTTTGAATGGAAGTCAATCATGTGTTTTGCAGGTGTCTCTAAGGAGGTGGCAGGAGCTGTGGATGAGGAGGATTTCATCAAAGCATTCACAGACGTCCCAACGGTTCAGGTGAGACACACTTGCGTATTAATGAGAGAGGTGTTACTCGGTTCCCTCAGAACCTAGTTACAAATCCACCCGTGGCTTTCATAACGTTCACGTTTGATCAAAGGCTTGGAATCATTTGATCTAAAACTCGTGTCTCTCTGTACGTCTCTCTCGTTACATAGATCTACTCCACACGAGACCTGGAGAATAATCTGAACAAGATCCGTGAGGTTCTGTCTGATGATAAACACGACTGGGACCATAGAACAAGCGCGGTGAGTACAACATACACAATTTAAGCACTCATGCAGGAAATAGCAACAGTGACCAAAGTAATATCAAAGATGGCGACGCCCATAAAACTGAAAGTCTCATCACTTTCTGACATGACAAGAGTCCAGTTGAGCCGCAAGTCAAATCTTCATTAACTGACAGCAGCTTTTATATTTGGGTGGAGAGCAAAACATTTGAGTCGTGTGTAGAACACAAAACTGTAATGTTAGCATGTAGAACACTGGAGCGGCTCCAGTGGAGACTGGATCTAAAACGTTCAGATGACACACAGCTCGTTTCTCCGTCACTGCAGTTACTGAAACCACACATGAAAACACGCAACACACGGTAAACAGCAGCAGAGCGGCTCTCTCTCGCACGGTATGACGTGACAGACAACCAGTTGTCCAGTGCTGTTCCGTTCACACAGCGCGGGTTTTCCAAGAATGCTGTTGTGAGTCCTGAAAATTTACAGGTGTGAGTTTGGTTACAAAAATGCAGTTGTCATGCCTGAAAATAACCGTACTATGTGTGAACGTAACCGTATTAAGGACTCAAATACAGGACTGACAACTGTATTCTGCTGCTGTGTGAACGTGGCCACAGTTACACCTAGAAGTGTGGATACAGCATCACGCCAAACCACATTTGCAGTTACTAATGCCATGGTTTAAAAAATTTGCTTTTTATAGTTATCCTTTATGAATTGATCAGTTTAACTAAAATGACAGTTATGACAGTTACCAAGATAAAGGAAGTCAGTTTGACTGGTGGTCATGTGATCTCAACATGGTGGCCCACGTGAGAGGACCTGCTCTATGTGAAATAAAACTGTTTTCATTTAGGTTACTGATTTGACTGGAGTCTCCATCTATGTTTTATTGATTTTTTTTTATTTAAAAGTTTTTAATGAGGAAAGAGTAAACAATTCTTCACTCAATTTTTCTGCTCTCTTTAACATCGCGAAGAACTGGAAGTAGTGACAGATCTTTTCTTCCGTATTGTGATGCACATCCAAGTGTAATGGATTATTACAAAAAATGTAGGATGGAGACTTGGTTCTATTCAGTGGTTGTTGATTGGATTTTGAGATGTTGCCATTGCACTCAAAAATTAATGCAAGCTTGTAGTCAATTGTGGAGGGGCGGGGTTTAAGTGGACTAAATGATTGGAGAGGTTCTGTATGCATTACTAGAAGTTTATGAAATTTTGATAAATCATTACTAGACCAAAAAAAAAAGAAGAGATATATGCATGGATGAATTGTTCACAATAAGATCTATAATATGCAATCACAAAACAGGGTAAATTTTGGTTTCAAGCAGACTTAAGCACATCGACATTGTCTCCATATTCCATTTACAAGTAGCTGAATTTGTTTCCTGAACAAATATTTGGTGAAATGTGGTATTATTAGTGTTTCCCATGAGAATGTCAAAGTTCAAGAGGTGATGATTGGGATGCACCAGACCTAGAGTTTTCTTTGTGACCATATATGGTTTGTTTACACTTCATGTTTTAAACCTCTATTCAACATTTTATGGAAATGTAAGGAGTTTCCTGGCTTTTATGTAGTTTTGCTTGTGCATTTCCATTCATTTGTGACAAACCCTCTTTGATGTGGTCTTGTTCCCTCTCTCTCTCACTCCACAGCTAAAGAAAGTCCGATCTCTGCTGGTTGCCGGGGCAGCAGACTATGATTGTTTCTACCAGCACCTGCGTCTGTTGGATGGCGCATTTAAGCTGTCGGCAAAAGACCTGCGTTCCCAGGTGGTTCGGGAGGCTTGCATCACGGTGGCGTGAGTGTCTAATTGACATCTTAAACAATGTGAACTTGAGTCTCTGGCACTAGAACGTTTTATGTGCATAGTATGCAGATTATTGAGATCTGTTTTCCATCAGCCACTTAATTAAGTGCTGGAGACAAGGAGGTGACAAGCTTTTAGAGCAAAGCAATTCCCATTTCCAGTCAAATGATTTTTGATTTGTGTGTTCTTGCAGTTGCTTTTTGTTCATTGTAAAGAACACCAATTTATTGTGTCATTATGTTGGTGTCTTTGCAGGCATCTTTCCACACTATTAGGGAATAAGTTTGATCATGGTGCAGAGGCCATTGTTCCAGTGCTCTTCAATCTTATCCCTAACTGTGCCAAAGTGATGTCCACATCTGGCATAGCAGCCATACGCATCATCATACGGGTGAGAAACAGCGGTCTGCGTGAGTTCATTGTGTCTGACTGCACTGTGTCTGTGTGTGTGTTTGACTGTATGTTTTTGTATTTTCAGCACACTCATGTTCCACGTTTAATTCCTCTCATCACTAGTAACTGCACGACAAAGTCTGTGGCCGTCCGGAGGTGAGACGTTAAAACTACTTCAACACACTATAGCTGGGATAAAACAGAGGGCGAGCGATCGGTTTTACTTTTTTTTAATTTACTTTTGTCTGTGTGTGTAAACCCTGACACGTTTTTCCCAGGATTCTTTGATGAATCGAAAGCTCAAAAGAACAGCATTTTTTTTTAAATAGAAATCTTTTTTAATAATGTAAAAGACTTAACTGGCACTTTTGATCTTTTCTTTAATGCAAGAAGTAAAACCTGAATGAATATTCATGAAAAATCAAGAATGATCAAAACTTTAATAATTTTTTCCCCAGTGATTGTTTCTCACTACTAGCTTAAATAATTTTTTCTATGTACGAATATTACAGTACATAATATAGAGCAACAATTATTATTTTTTCTCTTTTTACTAAACATTTTACAACATGTCCCCTTATAAGGTAAACAAACAAATAACTAAAGCAGTGTTCAACTCTTTTAATTGAAATGGGCAGTTTGAAAGAACTGATTCATGGAAATGAGTCCAACGTCCCAACTCTTTTGCTAATGAAGATTCATACTTTCGAGTCAGGAATCTAGTCTGCTGGTGCAGTCTTTAAAAGATGTAACTGGCTAAATAAAAAGCACATTATGATGTTGTTTAATTTTAGATTTCCAACAAATGAATATTGCAGTCTTTATAAATATATTGAATTTATCTCCCAGCCCTCCTGAGCCCTTGCCAAGTTTACAGACCTGTGTGAGCACATTCATTGCTGAATTCTCTTTCTTCCTCTCTCTGTCTGTCAGGCGCTGTTATGAGTTCTTGGATCTTCTGCTGCAGGAATGGCAGACTCACTCTCTGGAGAGGTACCACCACAGCGCAGACTAAACTACAGCTGCCTACTGGTGTTGAAAGGCCAAAACTGCACCATATAACTGCTCTTTCCTCTGTGTCTCAGGCATGTGGCTGTGTTGATGGACAGTATTAAGAAGGGAATCAAAGATGCAGACTCAGAGGCTCGAGTGGAGGCCAGGAAGTGAGTGCCATCCTCAAATTACTTAATGTATTTTGTTGTTTCCTGTTGTGTTTTTTTTTTCTCTGATGTTGCTCTCTCTCAGAGCATACTGGGGGTTGCGGGCTCATTTCCCCGGGGAGGCGGAGTCTCTGTATAACTCATTAGAATCGTCCTATCAGAAGACACTTCAGTCGTATCTAAAGAGCTCGGGCAGTGTGGCGTCCCTGCCACAGTCGGATCGCTCGTCCTCCAGTTCGCAAGAAAGCCTTAAGTAAGAATATCTTACTCACCCTCATCTAACTACACCAGAGACCACCAGTAAACAGTGAATTTGAATAGGAGCTCTGTTTTTTTCCCCTCTCTTTTTCACAGTCGGCCGCTGTCAAAGTGGTCAGCTGCTCCAGGCAGAGGTGAGATCCTTAGTGTGTGTGTGTGTGTGTGTACATGTCTTTGTATATGGGAAATTGATGCCTGTCATGTTCAGTGTCTTTCTAAAAATTTATTTGTATATAAAAATTGTATTATTGAATTATAGGTACAAAGGTACAAGTATTCAATACATAAAAATTCTAAAGGAATTTTCAAAATATAAATTAAAATTTTAGTATTTATTGTAGTGAGAAAATGTTATAAAAATATAAATGTGAATATATATATATATATATATATATATATATATAAATGTTTACTTTTAGTTTCCACTTTTCATGCTTCATTTAAATAAATTTTGCTTACATATTTTGTTTGTGTGTTTGTTATTTTAGTGCCTGCTTGTTCAAAATCATCAGGATCTCCAGGCTCTTTGCAGCGTTCCCGCAGTGATGTGGATGTCAACGCAGCCGCCGGTGCTAAAGCCAGACACAGCGGACAGGCTGGAGTGGCAGGCCGAGTCACGACAGGCCTGGCCCCTGGATCATATGCATCTCTCGGTAGGAGCCAAATAAAGTTCATGCACAGTTTTACCAGGTTTTATTAACTTGTGAATATGCAAAAGAGCTCATACATGTGCATACACAGGCCCTTCACTCTTTCCTACCACACGCAATAGGAACTTATGTTAATTCTTCAAGGTTACGTGTGTGTGTGTGTTTGTGTGTCTGTGTGGTTGTTGATGTGTGTGATTCTGTTGTGAGTGTGTTTGTGTCTTTTATTCTAACTGGTTTGCTGTGCTCCTCTCTCTCTTCTTTGGCTTAAGATGATGCCTCTGATAAGGATGGTAAGATCATCTGCCGTTTGCTCATCCATTATTCTTCACCTTCTCCTCCCCCCTTATATTGGACTTCCTTTCTGCTCATGTAACTCACGCTTTCCTACTGTTTGTCTTTGAATCGTTGTTCAGGATTTTTGGGGTGATTTATATATGTCTCTGATCTATATTGAATTATGCTAGGTAAAAAGTTGTTTGCTTTTCGTTGTAGTTATTTCAGTGCTTTGTAGGCATAATAGGGAACCTGATCCTCTCAAACATAGTGGGTGGAGCTCTTTGTGTGTGATGTAGCGCTGTTGCCGTCTGCTGGTGGCGTGTGGTATTGCAAGAATATGACTCATCTGCCTTTTAGCTTGTGGTTGTGCCAAGTTGAATTGCTTCATTAAAAATCTCCCTTACTGATCTGATCCTCTCCTCTTATTCTGTCCCATCGTCTTTCCTTTAACTCAGTCATTAATATGTTTCCTCAATCACAGGTCTGGCCCAAGTGGGTGATTGTGGAGGGCCAGCGAAACACTCTGGAAATCTCTTTCACTTCTCAGTCATTTGTTGGTGTTTTTATGATTGGCCTGAGGTCTTACAGCATGTTTGTTTTTCTCCAGGGCGACTACGGACTAAGCAGACTTTATCAACTGCATCTAGTGTAGGGAGCAGTCAGGTCGACTCAAGAGGGCGGACCAGATCAAAGATGGTGTCTCAGTCACAACGTAAGTACCTACAGACTGTATGTTCATTATATACTATTACTTACACACATCTTAAGTTATCGTGTTGCTCACGTATCACACCATAAACACACTGTATTAACATAACACTGCTCTCATGTTAATTGAATAGTCTGTAAATGTCTGTAAGTACAAAATACTGTATTGACTGCAAACTCCCAAAAATGATCCATTCACAAATTTTAAAAAGTCATTCCTATTATGCAGTACATTTTTTCAGGATTCTCTTATGAATGCAAAGTTTAAACGCACCGCATTTAATTGAAATAGAAATCTTTTGTAACATTATAAATATTTTTACTGTCACTTTTGATCGATTTAATGCATCCCTGCTGAATAAAAGTATTAGTTTATTTTTAAAAAGACTCAATGCTAATTTTATACACGTATGGTAAGCATGCCGTGAAACATGACTGGAAACAGTCTTCACACCACGTGCTGTAACACACATTGTCAACTGCATGTGTGAGTGTGTACGTAAAAGATTATCAGGAGTCATCCTGCTCTAAGGATGTAACCCACAGCTCCTCCAACTGTTTCTGTGCCTCTAGGTTCCGACGATTCTGATTGCACGCCAGGTACCCTCGTCTGACATGTGGGCGAGTGTGTTTAGTTCATGCAAACGTGTGTGAGCGTTTGTGAGCGAGCAAGCGTTTATATGTCTTGAGTGGCCTGCATGCTGTGTGGTCTTCACTTGGGTGTGATGGTATCAGTCCATTTCTGCCTGCAGGCGTGTAGAAACACAAACTCTCAGACACATCAGTTTAGTGGTGAATGTTGGGCAGCCTGGGCTGCTTAAACATATTGAGAGTATTGATGGAACTAAAGTAGTGGCAAACACAACCATGACGTTTTTTCATCTTTTGTGTGCCTTCATGGTGATTTTGTGGAGTCTCATCAGTTCCAATGGTGTTGCAGGGCTTTTTGAATCTATGTGCGCGTCTCATACTGATGTTTTCATTTGCAGGCTGATGGTTTTATTCATTTGTGCGGTGTGTGCATCAAAACAACACATTGACTGCATGTTTTACCCCATCATGCATTTGTATTTGTTTAATATGCTGTTCCTCCTCCCACCCAATGGGTCTTTTGTTTTGGACCCGCCCCGCTTCCTAATCCTTCCCCCTCATTGGCTCAGGATCACAGTCTGCTACCCCTGTTGGTGGTAAGATTTTCAGCATACTTCCCGTCACTCATTCACTTAGTCCAGTCAATCCCATCCTGTGGGCCTCCAACCTCTATTCTTACATCTTCCCTTGTCCTGGTTCACGGAAAAAAAACATGGGTTTTCCCATCAGCCCCCACTCTCTTCACTGCATGGAGGGTGTGTCGCTTGGATTATTTTGTTTGGTGTTTTTTCTCTCTCTCTCTTTCTTCAAACCTGTGAATAATTTGTTAAACCTCACATTAAGGCTGGGCGGTATGGCGGTATATATCGATCGTTTGGTACAGATTCTGCTTCTACTATGAATCTGCTACACAGATCCCTGTAATCCTCCTTTAAATAAAAAACTTTGGTATTATGTAATGTGAAGCTGTTTTGGTACTGATTCATTTGTGTGGCATGAATTCTCTTACCTTTTTGTTTTGTGTCCATCAAGGTAAATAAAATAAAATGTTCCTTTCCTTTCTTTTTGAAAGCATTTAAGCCACTAAATTATCGAAAAATAGACTTGGTACATAGTTGTGTTACAATTAAAATATATTTACTTGAATTTTCAGCAAATATAATTATTGTGAGATGTGTATTACCGTGACACAAGATTTTAGTCATATCGCCCACCCCTACTTCACATGTCACTGAGTGGGGAAATTTAAAGATTTTGTCACTGGTGTGTCAAAGTGCAGTGTGAGCATGTTCAGTTGTGTTTGTGTAGAGTTTGTGGTCATAGAAACATTTTCACTTGTTCACTAGGGAAACCTAATTATTCCCTTTTTGTCTCGAACACATCAGAATCACAGCACTAGCACTTTTATGTCAAACCGTCATCTGTATCTGTGATTATTGTAATGTAAATTATTGTTGTCTGGATAAACAACAAAAAAGTCAGCATAGCTATGAGGATTAGTTTGTTGGTGACGTTTGAGTTTGGCTTTAGTGGACAGTCTGTATTTTGTGTTATTTAATATATATAATTCTGTTTGTGTGTGCATATAAAGGCATTTATCGGTAGGATGATGTACATTTTCAGAGGTCTGTCAGGCTCACAAAATGTCTGTCTTTTTGTTTTCTATGTTTACAGCGGGTTCTCGCTCGGGTTCCCCAGGCCGGGTTTTAACCAGCACAGCTCTGAGCACACTCAGTACAGGAGCTCAGCGTGTGAGTGCAGCACCAGGCTCTCACCGTCGCAGCCGGATCCCACGCAGTCAAGGCTGCAGTCGAGACTCCAGCCCCACACGCCTGTCTGTTGGTAAGCACTGACTTCTATCTGTGGTCTTCTATTGTGATGATCTGTTCAGTTGTTTTCTTTCTGATAAATAAAATATCTTCTTCATCAATGAGTGTCCATTGAATCTGTTGTGGCATAATATGCAAAAGTGTTGCAAGTGTACGTTGGCTGTGAGACTGTGACTGTAGGCCTTCACATTAAACGGGTGATAATGTTCTTACCAAAACTGAAATTTTTTTCTTTCAATCAAAGCTCCTTCAAACATCAGCCACATCTACAATGGATCAAAAGGAGGTATGTTTTGTTTTGTTTTAGTTTTTTTTTTTGCCTTGGTCTCCGCCAGCCATCCCATAATGATAATCCATCTGCCTGTCTGAGCTGGTGCTGTCATCCTAATGGTGTTTCATGCTGGAAGTTGTGCTTTGTTGCGTGTAACACGCTGCTTTGGGAAAGCAGAACATGCCTTCACATTAACCTGCTGGGTCTTCCCTTGTCTGCTGTGATGTTAAACCTCACAGCTTGGTGCTGCTCTTTGCAAAGTGAATGAATGAATGAAGTTCATCTCATGAATGCAGATGAACATTGAACATTGGTTGAGAGACAGGATACAAAAGCAAAGATCTAGACCTGCCACCTCCCATTTATTAAGGGTGTATTCACACCAGGAAAGTCCGCTAGTTCACTTGCTTTGGTCCGGACCAAATACAATGATGATTTTTTTTTTGTTTAGTGCATATCAAGAAAACGTTGTGCTTTTGTAAAATAAAGAAAACAAATAGGATTCGCTTTCCGTCTCGGGTCTTGAACAGGAGCACTTCACAAAAATGCACCGAAACTCAGCGAATATTTTCTTTACAGACTTGATGAATATATCTATAGAAAGCTTTAAATGACTACAAAACGAAATAATTCAAATCCAAAACAAAAACTCTTATGTAATCCGTAAAGATGCATTTCTTTCTAAAGGCGCGTCCAATGATGAGATGGCGAGTCAGGATCATCAACTTCATAGCGACACTGACTCATAAAACACTAGTTTATTAATAAATAATTCAAATATCTCCTTACTATTTTCCCCCAACATAGTCATGGTAATTTTTGCGGCAAGCTTTAGCCTATTTAGCGAGCTCACGTCACTTTGCTGTGCGCCATGGTCACGAAAACTCATCATTTGCATGTGTTTTTAAGCATTGTGGTTTAAAAACAAGTTATTTAAGCCATTGAAACGCAAATAACAGCACTATATGCGCGAGCTGTCTGTTTCTGAGCGTGATTTCTGCAATTGGGTCAGATCGAGGTCGGGTCATATTCACACCTTAAACGAACCGTACCAGAGTTCGTTTGGAAGCGGACCGAGACCACCTCTTCAGCTGGGTCTTGGGTATGGTTGTTTGGTCCGCACCCGAGTGCGATTGCTGTATTCACACCTGCCAAAAAGGTCCGCACCAAGAGGGGAAACGAACAAGACAGGTGTGAACACACTATCAGCCTCAGATGTCATGCCCATGGACTGTTGGCTGAACGTCTGATGCATACGGCACACAAAATTGGAAACACTTCAG